ACTCGAACGTATTACGAAAAGATGGAAACATATTCGGTCGTTCAGTTATATGCTAAGTTTCTCGCTCATTATTCAATGAGGCAAATAATATTAGAGTCAAATGATCAAATGGAAGAGCAAAAACACATTTTTCAACTATTCACTTCATAGGTGTTCTTACATCTCATGTTTATACCCTATGTCAATTGATATATGCATAATTCCTATCGCAATGAGCCGACAGCTGGCAGCAGAATCTAAAACGATGCACGATAGTTTGACCTATCACAACTAGTGAGCCTAATTCTTGGTTCCCACGCAATCATTGCTGGCAGATGGTGAAACCCGAAATGCTTTTTCATACTTTTTCTAACCCGTTTTATGCCAACTACACCGACGATTCCCACCGAATAATCGATCAGGTGTTAAAGAGAAATGGCGATTATGCCACACGAAGTAGGCAACTGCCGGGGTTGGATCATCAATATTGTGTCGTTGTATGTGCAAAGCTTGAACCGTTTTCATTATAAATCAAATGTTGTCATATCTTTTCAGGACATAATGATCTGTTACAATAAATAACGTTGAAAATGGTACGGTTGATTCATACAACAACAGTGAGCATTTGTACCCGCAGTGCACACAGACTGTTCTATTGTTTGATCAAGTGGAACCAACTCAAACACGCAAACCCGATCGGGATATGGGCCTAATTTAGCTTAGTTCATAAAAGATGAAATCTGACAGAAACACGACTATATCGACTTCACAAAATCTTACGAAGCTCCCATGCAACTATCAGGAGTGTCGGAGGCATGAGACAGAAGCGGTCTGAATTGATAGCGGGAATCAGTTTTGCCGTAGGGAATAAATCTATCGCATTCATTAAACAGATTCTGCCGGTCCTTGATGTCTAAGTCTGCACATTAATGTCATATCGGTACAATTGATCATCTGTTTCATTGTATTTTATAATGATGGTTCTGTTTAGTACCATTCACAGACCATTGATCATAAACTGCCCGTTTGTATTCTCGCTGTCCGCTGAAGGATATTGGTGAAGGATAATCGTACCCAGATAGTTACTTGGCCAATATCCATTGATCGTAATTGCAATTTGACTACGTTAGGTACAATATCCCAACATACTGCAGAGTAATAAGCCGTTCGGATTCTACAATGACTAAACCAGCTGTTAGCGTTGCGAGAATTTTCATCTCTGGTGCACTGCTTTTCAAAAGAGTCCCTTAGACAGGCGCGCTATTTTGAGAATACGGTGGCACTCCTACATCATTACCGGAGAGGGGTGACTGGGCTACTGTAAACTTAGATGGAGCTAACGTGGGTATCAGAAATGATAACTTGGTATTAATCTGAAAAACCTTGTTGAATAACTTGAAAAGCAATGAATATCAATGCCATTTAGGGATGGCGTGAGCAACAATAACTGAAAATCTTTATTTGGATTTAGAAAAATGTGCAACTTAATTGCTGAAGGGTGAGAAAACGAGAAAAACTCACAATATGAGATCCAAATTTGGAACGGATGCTATTGAAGTAATTGTGTGTCATGCTCATAGTATTAGATCCGTGAAGGAAAACGTTTGGATTAACCATGACGATGAAAAACCAATAACAAGTTTATTTTTTGGTGACGACGTTTCAACCCTCTTGGAAGGTCTTTATCAAGTCAATTAACAAGCGAACAATTTGGCCACTGTTGCTCATGCCGAAAACTCTTGTTTCGACCTTTGATTCTATTCGTTGGAGCTGCAGTCTCCGGACAAATCTTATCCTTGCTATCGATCATATGCTATGAGGGTGGGCCATTCATAGTTCTGACGTCGAAAACTAATGCTGGTATAGACCTCGTCGCTTGTTCAGTTATGTAAGCACAAGGATGACGCAAAGTGGGAAAGCATCTTTGGCTAATGAATTTTCATTCAAGTTGAAAAGGGGAATATCTCCTGAGGCATGAAAGATGCAAATGTCTAAGCCTTGAAAGGGGCGGAAGAAGGTGTAGATTCTCATTATAATATTGACAGAAAGGACGGGTGAGTAAACATTTGGTTTGGTGACTTCAACTCACGTGGAAAATTC